AAAATCATCCTCTCGAACACTTCGGAACGAGCAGCAAGAATTGCACTGTTACCATAAAGGACAGAATTATCCTTGCACCTGATTTCTATATCACTATATCGAGGATTATTGACAAGAAGCTTTAAGTCGTCAATGAGAGAGTTTCCGCGCATCATTATCGTTTCAGGGTAGTAATCAATAAAGCAGTTACATATGTGCATGAATTTATACCGAATGTAAATTTCCTAAGCACCAAATTTGGTATTTTCTGTAACACATTAACAAAATTTTAATTGGATTGTAGCATATCAAAATACACAAACTTGTACACAACATCTCACATCCTTGATGTAGAAGAAATGTGTTATTTTATTCGAAAACTTTTTTTCTAAAAATATTTAACTTTAGAAATTACTTTATATTTTAGTTGAAAAAATACTACAAGAATCTTTACAATGATTTAATCTTTTAAACAAAGGTCATTATAAAAGATAAATAAATAAAAAAGCTTTTGACAATAAATCAAATGATTTTTTAATTAATAATTTTATATATGATATATAAATTTCTAATAAAAATAGAGTATATAAACAAATTATATTATATTATTTAAATACAATATAGTCAACAAGCATATAAAATATAAAATAAATAAATTTGTTTGAATGTAACATTATATTTATATCTTATAATTTGAAATTTTTTATTTATTTATTACTCAAAAATCCTAATATAAGTATTTATAAAAAATAAAACCCAAATTTAATATACAATTTGATTTTTTTATTTATTTTATCTTTTTTTTTATATTGATTTTTTTATTTTTTATTTTTATAAATTAATATAATTAAAAAAATTTTTTAAAAAATTTTATTTATATATTTCTTAAACATAATTTAAAAATTCAAAAAATTTTATTTTAAAATAATTTAATAATTTTGTTTATTTGATTTAAATTATTTTTTTAAAAAAAATTGTTTTAAAGTAATTAATGATTTTTAATTTTTTAAACAAAATAAAAAACTTTTATTATTATTTTTTTATATTCAAAAAGTCAATATTTTTAGAAAATTATCTGAAAACTTTTTTGATTATATCAAAAGTTCAAAATAAATAATTGAGCAATTAATATATAGCAAAAAAAGAAACAAGATATTTAGTTTATGTTTTCTATTTTTATACAATAAAAAATATAAACAAGTTACTAATTATAATAAAAATGTAAAATAACAAAGTATTATTTGTTAAAAGGTAATTTAATATTTTTTTTTTTTGAAAATAATAAAAACTTTATTTTGATTTGATAAAAAGTTTTTTATATATAATTATTTTAATAAAATATTTAAGCAATAAGTTTTTATAATAAAAATTAAAGCTTTTATATTAAAATATTAAAATTTAAATATTTTCAATTAATAATAAAATAATAAAAATTAAATAGTTTGTTTATTTATAGATATAGTTTGATTTAAAAAATATATATACTATATATTATATTATATTTCTAATTTTATTTATAATTTAATAACTAATAAATATAATATTATAAATATAAATATATCCGGTAGTAATAAAAATTTTTTAAACAAAAATAATTTTTATTTAATTAATTATATAAAAATAATTATTTAAATAAATTAAATTAAAAATTGTTTATATATATTTAAGATTATAAAGAACAAGTTTATTTAATAACTATTTACAATGTATAATAAAACTTTTTGATTTATAATTTTTTATTTATTTGTTATTCAAAAACTATTGAATAAAAATTAATAATAAAATATCAAAATAAAGCTTGAAATTTAGAGATTAATATAGATATTATAATAATATTAATTTTATATAAAATTTTTTTAATTTAATTTTTTAAAAAAATTTTTTTAATCATTTTTAATTTGTAAATTTTAGAATTTTTTAATTTTAAGACTTTTTTTTTATATCAAGAATAAAAACAAAATTTTATAAATTTATAAATTTAAATAAAATAAGTTTAAAAATCAATTAATAATAAATATAATATTATATATTTTTAATAAAAAATTTTTTTCATATTTTAATTTACAATTAATCAAAATATTAAAATTTTTAAAAAAAAATTTAAAAAGTTTTGTTATACTTTATTTAAATTATTGTTTATCAAATTATAAGAAAATTTTAATTCAAAAAAAAAAAACTCTTCTCATCAGTTAATTTTTCACTTGAAAATTTCCTTATTTAATAATAAACTCTCAAAAAATCTTTTATCTTCCCAAACACTCTCAAGTGCTCTCAACTGATAATTAACTCCTAAACATGAAGCACTCACCAACAAACAACAATAAAAAACAATTTTTACATATCACTATTCACCAGAACTGAAACAAACTCTTTCAAATCGAAAAACTCTTTTCTGATCCACTCACATTCAACAAAAACTACCAAATTAGGAAACAAAAATTTTTTGTCAAAATAAAAATTCTAAAGACCCTGGAGGATCTTCTACATCCTCCAAGGATCAAGCAAATGAACCTTTACATGTCCTTCTCAATGTCCTAATCACTGATGTAAACAAATGCCTTGCAGTCATTATTCACAAAAACATCAACACCAACATTATCTATACCACCCATCCAGTCTCTACCACCAGACTTCCCAAACTTACAAACCCTCCAAAAGTATGGCTCATACCAGTTCGAGTTCAGAAAAACAACCAAGAAACCTATATAGTTATTTCAGTATCTTTCGAAATCTGAAAAAAAAGATTGGGAAACCACTACACTGAAGTCAAAGTAACACTTCCAGATCCAATGCCCTTGGATGACCTAAAC